ATTCGCACGGGGGGTAAGTCTCAGCCCTGGTTTGATAAATCCTGTACAGAAGCGTTACGCTCGAAACAGTTGAAATATCGATCATGGGCTGCGGCATCAGCTGCGAAGGATCCAAAAACGTCCGAATTGAAAAAGGGTTATAATGCTGCCTCCAGGTCTTGCAAAAAGGAGATTTCCAGAGCAAAGAAGGAGCACGTTCGCAGAATTGGAGAGAGACTACTTGACGTTCCCTCAGGAACTCGTTCTTTTTGGTCTCTCGCCAAAGCGGTACAAGGCAATTTCTGTAAGTCTTCCCTACCATCCTTGCACAATCCTGATGGAACGCTGGCTAATTCCGCAAAAGAGAAGGCTGATCTTCTGTGCACTCTTTTTGCGTCGAATTCAACTCTTGACGATGGGGGAAAAGCACCGCCTACCATCCCGCGGTGCAGGGAAAATATGCGCAATGTGCGTTTTACGCAGAGCGCTGTGCGTGCCGCCCTGTCATCCCTCGACGTCAAGAAATCCAGCGGCCCAGACGGTATCCCAGCCATTGTGCTTAAGATGTGTGCTCCTGAATTGACTTCGGTCTTAACGCGCCTATTCTCACTCTCTTATACTACTGGTAAAGTTCCGTCTTCGTGGAAAGTGGCCAATGTCCACCCTATTCCCAAGAAGGGTGACAGCACAGACCCATCCAATTATAGGCCTATTGCGATCACTTCCCTACTCTCAAAGGTGATGGAGCGGATCATCAATACGCAACTTTTAGGTTATCTAGAGGATAACCAGCTTATTAGCGACCGTCAATATGGCTTTCGCCACGGACGAAGCGCTGGTGATCTTCTAGTATACCTCACGTATCGATGGGCTGAAGCCATTGAGAGCAAAGGGGAGGCCATGGCGGTCAGCCTAGACATCGCAAAGGCTTTTGATCGGGTCTGGCATCGCGCACTTCTATCGAAGCTACCATCGTACGGACTACCCGAGGAATTATGCAACTGGGTAGCCAGCTTCCTTCATGGGCGGAGCATACAGGTCGTTGTTGACGGTTCTTGCTCGGAACCCAAGCCCATCAACGCTGGCGTGCCCCAAGGCTCAGTACTATCACCAACACTGTTCATTCTGCATATCAACGACATGCTGCATACCAGCAACATTCGGTGCTATGCAGATGACAGTACTGGTGACGCTTATTACATGGGCCGAGCTAATATTCCTCGTGACCAAGTAGAAGAGAGCAGAAAGAGACTTGTGTCTGAAATTGAGACCTCCCTGGAGCAGGTTTCCGAATGGGGTAAGCTGAACCTTGTTCAGTTTAATCCCAAGAAGACACAAGTTTGCGCGTTTACCACTAAAAAGACCCCATTTACTGTAGCTCCAAAGTTCCAGGACATTCCCCTTAAGATCAAACAGAGCATTGGGATCCTTGGGGTTGACATAGCGAACGACGTTCAATTCCGGAGTCATTTGGAGGACAAGGCTAAACTAGCATCAAAAAAACTAGGGGTACTGAGTAGAGCGAGGCAGTACTTCACACCGGGACACTTGCTTTTGTTATATAAAGCACAGGTTCGTCCCCACATGGAGTATTGTTCTCACCTCTGGTCCGGTGCCCCACAGTACCAACTTCTTCCACTTGACTCCATACAACGTCGGGCAGTTCGTATTGTCAACGATCCCATGCTCACAGACGATCTAGAACCCCTAAGTCTCCGAAGGGATGTAAGCTCCCTTAGTGTGTTCTATCGTCTGTACAATGGGGAATGTTCCGAGGAACTGTTTGATGTAGTGCCATCGTCTACATTCCACCATCGCACTGCTCGGCGTAGGGTTGGATTTCACCCACATCATCTGGATGCATTCAGTTGCAGGACTGTACGTGCGTCGCGATCATTTTTTTCACGCACGTGCAGGATGTGGAATGATCTTCCGCCCGAGGCTTTTCCAGAGAGCTACAACATGGGGTCTTTCAAACATCACGTGTTCAGGTGGCTCCTTTCCAAACAAGGCCGGCAACGCATCTACAACACCCCTTGTGTTGCAGATGTCCATGGGCGACGGTAACCACTTACCATCAGGTGGGCCGTCCGCTCGCTTGCCCCTTTGGGCCATAAAAAAAAAAAAAAAAAAAAAAAAAAAAAAAAAAAAAACATCAATAAATATTGATTAACAGAAAACTAACGATTATCAAATATGTATATGGAATATTGTGACTAATTATTTAGAAAAGTATATTTTGAATGTATTTTTTTTATATCTTAAAAATGCTCATCGTATTAAAACAAATTATATGAACTCACTCACCTTAGAAGAAGTGTCGTTAACAACTACATTTTGGACAGTGAGTAGTTTGTGTTGTGTGAACGTATTTGTTACTAACGAAGAAGATAAAATAAGGCTGACCGCTGATTAATATTAATATTTAATAAGCTTTTATATGCACTTCATTATTATTAATAAAACATATCTTTCAGTAATAGAAGAGAGTTACTTCTAAATTTATAAATATTTTTGTCACAATTAAAACGAAAACTTCGTCAAAAAAACTTGTACATTTCAGTAAACAGTACAATATTAGTTAATTAAATATACAAATAAACGTTTAAGTGTACGTTGGTTTTTAAGCGTCGGTGGTTGCTACCCTTTTCCGAGTTCTATTAACAACTTCTTTACACTTATATCACTTGTCACGTACCATCGGAACACTTATCCATATCATCTCATTCTATCATATTATTTAACTATAAGTCATCCCGCACAGTTAAACTAACCGAGTCATTCTCCTCTTCAAATAATTCTATGTTTCATCAATACTTGGTTCATTGTTAGTTTACATCTAACACTTGATGATCAGCCGTCATCTCCTGATGAATGAATCTCAAGTACAGTCCAACAACACCATCTGTAATACATAATACAATATTGTTCTTATATAAAGACATACAAAGACACTTACTTCAATTATTGTCGATTTAAAATAAATTATATTATTATATGTTTTAAAAAATTACAAAAACACTCGCTTATAAAATGACAGACTAAAAGTAGCATATTTTTAATAATTCAAAATAAAACTAGAATGAAAAAAAAGAGCTTCATTCAGTGTTTTGTTTGTGTTTTAAGTTCGTGGAGTGCTAGATATTTCTATTCTATTGATTATGTCATATGTACAAGGCGAGTGTGCACTACAGGTACATGTGAGCAATTCCAGTCACTTTAGTCTAAAACACATGGACGTACTCTTTTCCCATCGTGTACACTACACTCGTAGTCCGGTCAAATTAGACATTCGAGGTTTAACATAAATTCCCACCAAGCTGATAATCGGTATGATTGTTTGAAATATTATTAAAAACAAAATTTGAAAGTTCCCCATCTTTCCTCAGTAAGGAAAGTGTTATTCAAGGTCAAAAGTAAAAAAATGAGTTTTTCGCGATTTTCAGCAAAACGGTAAGTTTTATCAGAAAAGTACCTCAGACAAAAATTATAGATCATGAAATTATCTACAACAAACGTTTTAATACTTTTTGTTCTACGAGCCACCGTTTTTGAGATATAACGATTCAAAAAGTTGTAATCGTCATAATATGCATGAGTATGCCACGTATATGTATGTATACGTATACTCGTACATCTCTATAGTTGTAATATATCTATACTAATATTATAAAGCTGAAGAGTTTGTTTGTTTGTTTGTTTGTTTGAAAGCGCTATTCTCCGAAACTACTCGTTCGAATTGAATAATTCTTTTTGTGTCGGATAGTCCAGTTATCGAGGAAGGCTGTGGGCTATATAACATCACGCTACGACCAATAGGAGCAAAGATATAGTGGTAAATGTGTAAAAAACGGGAGAAATTATTTCATCTTTGAAGCCTTCCGTTGCGTGGGCCGTGAAAACATTTCAAGATACACAAAAAATATGTATTAAAGAATAATAGATCTTTTGATGATCTAATAAACAGTCCGCGACAGTATTTGTCTATCTTTTAAGATTAACTCACAAAAATCGTTTTTATGGTACCTAATTTGGTCGAAATAATTTGTTTAAGTTGTATCAACATAATAATATTAATCTTTATTCAAATAAACAAATAAATATGTTGTTGGTTAAGAGTACTTCATTGTGAATAAAAAAAACATAGGTTTTATCCTGAAAATTCTACAGGAACTCGACCATTCGATTCGAACTATGTGGGAAGAACCAAAAATCTGCCGGAAGTCACTATTCCACGCGGACGGAGTCGCGGCAGAAGCTAGTGTTTAAATATTTTTACACTTTACTTCCACCTGCGCCTGAAATGCGCCTTTTGAAAATTACGACATCGGACGATTAAATTTCACTACTTTTTTTAAACTCATCATCAATTGCTTTTATCTTTTCAATCTCTGCTAATATCCATTATTTATCAATAGTTTCACATTAAACAAGATCAAAACTGACCCGTGGAATAGACCTACTGGGGAAGATACAAAAAAAAGCTAAGTACACTACCTCAAAGGTGGCGAGGAAACGTGTGCATATTATGACGATTACAACTTTTACAACTTTTTGAATCGTTATATCTCAAAAACGGTGGCTCGTAGAAAAAAAAGTATAAAGTAATTCTTTGTAGATAATTTTATGATCTTAAATTTTTGTCTGGGATATTTTTATGATAAACTTATCGTTTTGCTGAATATCGCGAAAAACTCATTTTGTTTACCTTTGACCTTGAATAAATTTTTTCCTTACATAGAAAAGATGGGGAACTTTCAAATTTTGTTTTTAATGATATTTCAAACAATCTTACCGATTTTCAGCTTGGTGGGAATTTATGTAACCTGACTGTTATCATTTGGTCTAATTTGACCGGACTATCACCTCATATTATGATTAGATATCTGTAAGGGTACCGTTATATTAAAAAGATATGTCGTACTTTTATATTTAACTAGCTTTCCGCCCGCAGCTTCGCCCGCGTGGAGTTCCGTTATATCGCGTTTCCAAGAGAACCTTTCAAAAGTCTGGGATAAAAACTATCCTATAATAATAATAATAATAATAAACTTTTATTTCAACCAATCTGATCATATTTACAAAATTGTTAGTATAGTGCACTCCTTAACCTATTGTTAGTAAGAAAAAAAAAAAAAAATACATAACTTAAAATTATAGTGTTACAGTACCTTTCTGACATGATTTGTTTGTCAGCACATGGACCATATTGCAATGGTTCAAGTACTGACAATCAAACCTGTCAGAAAACGCTACTAGGATGCTGTTAGAACTGGCTCGAACCCTACGCACCAGGGATGCACACCGTTTACGCATGGTCGCGTAAAAGCAGTCCACATTCGCCTCGGCGAACATCCCAGACGCGCTGCAGAATCGAGGCAGCCCCATCAGCAACCTAAAAGCGTTGTTGTACTGCACACGTAAGGCGTTGTACTGTTTTTGCGAATAATCAATCCACAGGCTGCTCGTGTAGAAGGATGTACAGAAGGCTCTAAAAAGAGTTACTTTAACAAGTGAAGTACAACGAGCAAACCTGCGTGCGATCATGTTCGCTCTAACAGACAACGCCCTGCGTTCCCGCTCGATGTCCGCATCGTCCTTCAGGTCAAAGGATAGCACATGCCCTAGATATTTAAATTGATTTACCCTGTTCAATGGGGCGCCGTCTAGTTTTATCAACGGTATAGTTGAGGGCAGTGCTTTTCCTTCAGCCTTGAAGATCATGTATTCGCTTTTACATACATTATATACAAGACCATGATTGCGAGCATAGCTCATGCATATATCCAACAGTTTCCGTATCCCACACGCCGAGGCACTCAGCAGCACCATGTCGTCTGCGTAGCTGATATTGTTTATATTTACTTTATCAATATGGCATCCGGCACGCGTGCTGCTGAGCTCCTCTATTAAAGCGTTAATGTACAGGTTAAAGAGCTTAGGTGAGGTTAATCCACCCTGTCTCACGCCGCATTCCAACCTGTACGGGGACGAGAAACTATTTGACCATCGCACGACGTTCGACTGGTTTCTATACCAAAATTTAAAGATATTGTTTATTCCTTCCGGAATACCAGTATCCCGCATCTTTTTCCACAGGATATCATAATGTACCAAGTCGAACGCCTTGGATAGGTCGAGAAAACATGCATAAACTGGTGTTTTTCGCTGCATATAGTACCTGACAGTCTGCTTGAGACACAAAATGGCAGACTCAGTGGATAGTCCTGGCCTGAATCCGAACTGATTGTCATGTGGTTTAATATAATGGTCAAGTTGCATATCAAGCAGGCCATCAAGCACCTTAGCTGTAACGGTAGCAAGAGAAATCGGCCTGTAATTGGACTTGTCAGAAACGTCACCCGTTTTGTTCTTCACGATAGGCACAACCATAGTTTTCATCAGAGCTGCCGGCAGGTAAGAATGTGTAATACATAGATTATAAAAAGTCGCAAGCAGTGCCGGAAGCAAGGGGCCAGCGTGCTTTAAATGCTCTATACTAAGCCCATCATGGCCTGGGGACTTACCACGCGACATTGAGGTAATAATCTTGTTTACGTCCTCAGATGTAAAACAAATTCCGATCCCCCGGTCACTCGATGCTTCCCCTACCTCTGACTGTGAAGAACTTAACGGGGACCTTACAGCAAAATGATCCCTAAACGTATTAGCAATGAGACCATGTTCGCTAATGCCCTCGACGCTCACAGGAAGACTCATCCCGCTATTAAATTTGTTAGTAGCCTTCCAGAATTGTCTAAAGTCATGCTTGAAGTGATGCGAAGCCAGGATATCCATTTTTATCTGCTCGGCGTTGTTTTGGCACCACTTCAAACGGGACTTGAAAACACTCCGGCTACTTCGCATTTCCTCATACACATGACCTTTCGTCGGCTTACCGTACCATACCCAGACTAAAAACGCCGATCTAGCCTCCCTGTGAGCCTCGCGTACATGTCTGTTCCATCCAACCACCGGCCGCTTCCTAAAACACCTGTTTGTGCGGCTAGACTCCGAGGCGGCATTAGTTAGAATATATATAATGTCACTATAGAGCTTATCTATATACATATTGTGAGTTACATTTTTACACAAATAATTACAGCATTTAATTTCATTATACAATTCCAAGGTACTTAATTTCTCGTGACATAGCTTACTATATAAGTTTATCTGTTCCGGCTTTTTGTCGCCCCATAGTATATCTTTAGCAATTATGTTCGAGTTACATATAAGTTTTGGTTTTACCACCCCTAAGTCACACTCTATTATCAGGGGATAGTGGTCCGACCAAAACACGTCATACTTAACATAAACATTAACAATTGAAGCTAGCGCAGACATGGTGGCTATACAGTGATCTAACCATCGTCTCGACCCATGGGCCTCGCTAATAAAAGTATATGTATCTGACGAAGGGCCTAAAAACTGTACATCCGCACACGTCCATTCTAACTCATTACAAAAACTTATAAGTTCGTTGTAAAACAGTTCATTTATATGTGAGTTATAGTCTCCGAGAGCATATACTGACTCGATATTTTCATTTTTAACAATAGCACTCACCGAACTGAGGCAATCCGTGAAATCCGGAACGTTTATCAGTTTATCCGTTGGCATATACACACTAAACACTAGTAATGACCTTTGGTGTAACACTATCTTTATAGCACAGACTCTAGGGTTGTCACAGCGCACTACAGACACATTTTGGAACACACTTTTCCGCCAAAGCAGGGCTACACCTCCATAAGGCCTGCCTCGCAACAGACCCGCCTCGGTGTCTACTGCCGATGTGCCCGTACAGCCGAAATCCGTATCAATGGTGTTAAGAGACGATAGTTCATGTGGAAGAGTCCACGTTTCTTGCAATGCGACTATATCTGAAGTCAAACAAAGCTGTCTTACATTTTCCATTGATCGTTTTAAACCTTTACAGTTAAAACTTACAAATTTATTTATCTGCATTTCCAGTTTTCGCTTTCTGTCTAAAGTTAATAAATCGCTTAAATATTACCCCTTGAGGCCAGAGCGATTCATCCAAAAACATTGATGTCATACTATCGGGCACGAAGAATTTAAAGGCATTGTAATTCCTTTCACTGGGGAATACAACTTTATCCAGTTTTATATTTTCATTCGTTTTGTTACGTATATAATCCGTTATATCTTTCTCCGTCGTATCTTTATGTACTTTAGTAATATAGATCGGAACATATCGCACCGCCGCTTTAAATCTGCTGTCTTTGTCGTTTGATTTACCAGACATACCGAGGTATCTATACATCTTAGTATTATGCTTCCGCCGCTGAACCAATTTCCATTCGCCGTCCGAATTCACAACCTCGGCAAAGGATAGTGTATTCGCCGACTGTATATTATTTAATGCGTTGACGTCTACGCTCGGGTTAGCGTCGGTCGGTGCCGGCGATCGGAGCGATGCGTCCTTCCCCCCGCCGCTACCGCGTTCCGCGGGGTCCCAGCGTTGTCCGCTCGAGCCGCTACGATCGGCCGTTATGTTCTCACTCGATTTTAAAGACATACCCTCAGCTTGATTCGTAATTATTAAACTTCTGTATTTGTTAAGTTCACAGGACTTTTGGGATTGAATATCACACTCAATTTGCTCGCCGGAATTCGATATAATGGTATCATTTAGAGATAAGCCCATAGGCCCGCTATTTCTATAAGCCCCCCTTCGCATGTTGACTTTAACAGCTGAAAACGGCGGTGAAGCTGACTTCGAACCCAGGCATTCTTTTCTCACCTCCTGTAGCTGGTCTTTGGTTACGTATGAAGCTTTTATATTTTTAATTTCGGCTTGCACCATCGTTAAATCCTTCAAAAGTTTCGATATATCCAGATGATCGACTCCGATTGGGGGCAAAATTTCAAGGTTCCGTGCCACATATACCGGTAGAATGTCTGGTTCTGTTCTCTTGAGAAGACTAATTATGTCATACAGAGTTCGCGCTTCCTTTCCTTTCCCTTTCCTGCTTGTTTTACGATGCTCGATAGGAATAGATTCAAACAGTAACGAACTTGCTTCTTCAATTTGTTCTGATGAAAACGTCGATACACAAATCCTTACTAACGTTTCTTCATCAGCAATCGACAGCTTACATTGTAAGTAAGCTAGAAGTTCAGAGATCACAATATTACACGAATTACATTTTAACTTCATTATATTCGGTCCATGCAGCGGGTCCGCTGCAATTACTTTACGTGAAACTAGTAGCACACACCCATCGCGTACAGATGCGCGCGCGCGACTGATGTTACCTATGTTCTTTCTCAAGGTCAAATCTATGTCTATACCAGATTTCATTAAAATCAATTCAGTGGTTTAGGCATGAAAGCGTAACAGACAGACAAAGTTACTTTCGCATTTATAATATTTGTAGGGATATAAGCCGCTACCGTGACATAATATATAGAAATTTTCTTTGTACTTATAAAATTGGTTCATAGATAGGCTTCTACATAACATTCCCAAACACGGTTGATGTGGGATGGCGGGTAATAGCTCCGGTATGTATATATTGACGCGGTTCAAGATCTTGAGGCAGTTCGAGAGTTTGCTATCGCTGGGATCTGTGAGTAGAAATACATCTAAATATATAAAAGAAAGTCGTGTTAGTGATTCCACTTATAACCCAAGAACGGCGGAACCGATTTAGCTGAAAATTGGCAAGGAGGTAGTTTAGAACCAGGAAATTGCAATAGGATACTTTTTATCCCGTTCGGCAGCATTCCCGTGGGATTTGACATGAAACGTCAGTCACTATAAAACGTGGAATAACGAAACACAATTGACAGCTATGCAATTGACGTATAATGACAGATATGTAATGACGTAATGATGACAATTAGATATTTGTAAGAGATCTACTATATAAAAATAAGTCCGGTTTTCCATCTTCAGAACCAAATTCCACGGTTTTGCATTCGTTGGAAAGGTCTCGGGTTCCGTGAGGTTTATAACCAAAAATTTCGACAGAAAAGCGGGAAAATCTTTCTTCACATACAGCGTCATCATACATAACATGAACTACAAATCAATATTTTAAGTAAATGGTGCCGGTGCATGATACATTGGTTGACAGCTACTCATTGTTCTCTGCTCAGTTAATTTCATGTGACAAACTGGCATTGTGTTTGTAGTTCGAACTCTTAAAACCATTTAGTATTTGCGGGATAAATTTAGAAAACATTGTTTTTCACATGGGCGTTATATTTTGCGTGTTCACGAGTTTGGAAACCATCCGCTTTATTTGTGTTAAAATTAGACCAAAAAACAAAATATTTGGTTTACAAAGGACCACTTCAATGAAACGGATAATTTGCGGACACGTATAACGCTTCGATTCGGTATCTACTTTGGATTCACTTTCATTTACTTCAAGAAGTTCAACTAAATAACACTTCATTTTTGTAATCGAAATGAATTTATTACAATTGTGAAATGAAATCAAAATTTTCCTTTTCAAATATAAAACAAAAAAAATCTTCATATTTTAATCACCAAACGAAATAAAAGCCTTCTGGTGGCGAAACGGAGTTCGCCAGGTTTACTAGTCTTCTTCTTCTATATATATAAAAATGGATTGCTGTTCCTTAGTCTCGCTAAAACTCGAGAACGGCTGAACCGATTTGGCTAATTTTAGTCTTGAAATACTCCTGGAAGTCCAGGGAAGGTTTAAAAGGTGAGAAAAATTGGAATGATTGCCGAAAAAACCCTAAAAACAGCCCTTCTCTATTTCCCATACAAACGATTTTTTGACATTAGACTTGACAACTAACTAATATGTCAATCATTCTGTTCGATTGAAACAGTAGAAATTTAATAAATACCAATACCGGGTTATTGAAGACGGAATAGAGTTCGCCCGGTCAGCTATACCTATATTACTAATGACGAAATTAACGCGGACGAAGTCGTGGGCAAAAACTAGTTTACTTATAAAATTGTAAAAATACTGGTAGGTAAATTTTATAAATTTTGTATATAACTTTATATTTTAATTTCTTATAAATAGTCAAAAGTATAGTATAAGAATTGGTATTTTAATTTACCAGATAACTTAAAATCTCATATTTCTTATATGAATTTCTTTTTAATAACTATTTATAACAGAATTTTATAAGTTCAAAGACTAAATAATAAACCCATTATTCTTGATTCATACTTTGACAGTGTCATTGTCAAAGTCTACTTGCACAATAACAGTGATTCTTTCTTTAGTGACGATACACAAAATACACTTTATTTGTTATAATTAATAAAATTTAAATAAAAATTGAAATAAATTATTCAAGCTAGCATCTAGAAGATTGTTGCTGATAGGTTTTCATAGCTTTTCACCGACTTTAACATACCGAACGGGCTCCAATAGGTTAGAATCTGCTTTTTGTATTGATTGGTTTTAGTGCTGTGTGTTTAATATCGTAATTACAAGGTAAGTATTGACCATATTTGTAAAATAATCTATATAAACCATTAACTATATATTCTTGACGAAATTACTACAATAAAATTACAACATATTAAATGAAACAGACATATGTTTTACAAGAAAACAATGCAGGAATATGTAATAAAAAGTTTTTATCACATTTTAAACAATATTTTTACGTTATCAGATTTATATTATTGGTTTTAAAGATTAATTTTAATAGATAATTTTACGAAAAAATTCCTCTTCGAAATATGCACTGAAGTGTAGGTGTCTGAATAACATGCATGATTTTTTCTTCAAATATTTGTTCTTATAATAATGAATGATATAATTTTTTTTTGTATTGGATATTCTTTTATCTCATTTATAAAACGGTAATCATTGCAACCATACTATTAAGCTTTGGCATTGAAAAATATGTAAATAGTAAAATTTTTATTAACATAATAGTTAATGTCAATAAAAAAATATTTTTATTAAATTTTCTATTAATCCTATGTTGGCTACTGAACATAATTTTTATAGACAGTATAAGGTATGTTGCATTTCTGTAACTAATTTGTATAGTTATCATTCTATGGTTTGTACACTCTAAAATTCTATTAAATGTAGTTTTAGCATTTAGCTTTTATAATTATCGGCCAGCATTTTCATGTAATACAAATACTAATTTATTAAAAAACAAATTAAAAACAATGTGTTTAAGACCTCACGGCTGAAGTAAAACTTGTTTTGCTCCATCTATATGTAATATATATAAGCGAATGTTTATTTGTAATACAAACATATATACAGTTCCAAACTGTGATAATTTGAACTTCTTTATAATTCAAGGTCATCACGAGTTCCTTTCAAAATCTCTTTATATTTTGCACTAAATCAATACATTTTTATGCACTTGATAATTCGAACTAAAAATTCATTTCTATATAATAGAGTAAGATCCCAGAGCGATAAGACACAACTTATTTTCTAAAGCATAGAACTTTCGGTTCTAAGTAGTCTCTCATGTAAAAACTAAATAAGATACTTTATTCCAATATAATATATAAGAAATTAAAGTTTGGATATTTTGTATTACTTATTCTTTAAAGTCCAATATGAGATACTAATTTTGAGAGCATATTGAATAGCTCTGAGAATCGGCCAACATCTATTTTTCATACCTCTAAGTCATAAGGGTTATTCATCCTTGATTTTTTTTACTTTCGACGAATTTTATTATTTTTATTTTTTAATGTAGCTATAAAAAGTACAAACAACCCAAAATTTTTACTTTTTTATCACCAACCTATATATTTTTATATGGCATAACAATGTTTGCAAGGTAAGCTAGTAATATATAATATTCTTTGATTTCAGAACTTCGACCCAGTCGCCGTACCAGACTCAGAACATGAAAAATTCTACAAAGGAGATTCTTGTATTATCTTTAAAGTAATCTTCTATAATATATACTAGTTTTCGCCCGGGACTTCGTCCGTGTTAATGTCTTCATTAGTAATATACAGATGTATAGCTGACCGGAGGAACTCTATTCCGCTCTAGAGTCCGTCAATAACCAGATAGTGGAATTTATTAAGTATTTTTTTTTCGATCAAACAATATTAAATATCCTATGTCCTTTCTATGTTCTAATCTATCTCTCCACCAATGTTTTCTTTTATATATATACTATATAATACATGTATATATATTTCAGACTACATCAGATAAAAAGAAGAATCTATCCTTTGATATCCATTACTGGATCGGCAGCCAGTCGTCTCAAGATGAGTCTGGTGCAGCCGCTATACTCTCTGTCGGTCCAAATTCAACGGTAAAGCTATACAACACAGAGAGTCCATGGGTTATGAGAGCCAACAGTTCCTGGGATACTTTAAGAATGGAGGTCAGTTAGTTATAGAGATGATTACTATATAACATGAAAGTCGTGGTGGCCTAGAGGTTAATGCCCTCATCTCATGCACGAGAGCGCGGGTTCGAAACCTGGCAATTACCAATGTGATGTCCCGAGTCATATGTACTTTCTAAGAGTATTTAGACATCACTGACTGATGAAAGAAAACATGGACTTGTATCAAATTATGAGTTTGAAGCAAGTGTGGTGAATGGTGATTAATACTCTGTCTCCATATGAGAAGAGGCCTTTACTCAGAAGTGGGCTCTGATAGGCTGATGATGAGGATATATTTCAGATTTAAGACTTTTGAGTATTCATTTAAATGAAACTAATATTTTCGGATTACTACGCGTATTTTATTATTATTATTCTCATTCAATTCTCATCTCGTCCTAATGTTCACGGTTGTTGCAAAGTAACCGAAACGTCTATAGTATGTAGTTAAAATAATAAAATACGCGAAGTATA